TATCTATCTATCTATCTATCTATCTATCTATCTATCATCCATCCATCCATCTAGCTATCTAGCTATCTATCATCATCTATATTTACTTATCTATTTCTCTGTCTCTGCCTGCCTGCCTATTATCTATTTTTCTCTCTTTCTCTCTCTTACTTTCTGTCTCTGACTGTCTGTCTATCTATCTGAGTGGCCCGCAATAGTTATGTTTTTATCCGCGGTTCGTTCGCGGGTAAAGAACTGGGTGAAGAAAGGGAGAAAGGAAGAGAAGGGACTCACAGAAGTGACGGTGTCGTTTTTCATGGCAGAGTTATACTGAAGGACAGAACGAAGGGGCTCTTTCGTCGGGAAAGTCAGGAGGGGGGACTTGGTGGCGATCTCGCAAACACCCTCGTACCACTCTTCAGGCCAAAGACCTGGATCGACATTGGGAGAAAAGAATTAAAAGCAAAAGAAGGGTAAATATTATTTCTGGATCCTCCAGGTCACACGGAGCCTTTTTGACCAACACTCTGCATTCCACCAGGATCTAATAAAGCTTGTGTCAAACTGCTAAGAACAAGCTCCGATCAAACTGTGATGTCTTAGCTAGGCTTCTTTCGAAACCACGGTTTAAACAAACAACCGATTCCCAATGTTTAAAAAAAAAAAAAAAGCAACCAGCTCTCAAATGATTTGTAGCAGAAGATTTCTTGATCTGGAGCACAAATCCAAAGTTGTTTCAGATTCAACAAGAAAAATGCTCCTTTTGGGGGGGTTCCTTCGAACTTAGGTCTTGCTTTCTAGCATTAATGATTATATTACAATACTAGCTCGATACCTGCGCTTCACTATGAAACTGTGTGGTGAGGCTTAATTTTGGGGGAGGAAAATAAGGGGGAAAAAAATTCTGCCTCTGCCTATCAGCATCCATCGGTATTCATCTGGCTAGCGTCCTGTCAGTGTGTTGAGGGCTGTTTGGAAACTGAAACAGCATTTGCTGTGTGAGCAAGGAGGAGACAGCAAGGAACCTGGACGTGTTCTGCACTAAAACTGCTTGGGGCTGTGAAACTCAAACTGAAACTCCTCTCCTCTGCTTGCGTTTTGCATTTGGAACAGATTTCTTTTCAGGTGGGGAGGGGGAGTAGAACTCCTTAGCATCAGAGCGTGTTGATAATAATAATAATATAGGAAATATTAATGTTCTGATGGTCATTTCTACAAATCCTTTCTTAGTGAGCCCCTAAGAAGCCAAGAGGAACATACGTGCCAATTTTTAAGTTTGTAGGCTTTACGGTTCTGGAGATTTTGTGATGATGCATGAGTGGTATTTCTCTATGCACACACACACACACACACACACACACTTACAATAATATACAATTACAATCAAGCCAATAGGTTGGCTGAGTTATCCCTGTGAAATTCTTCAAAACGGATGAAGCTCTTTTAAATATGATACAGGGAAGTTAGTCCATTGATTTTCTTCTACTCCCGATCAAGTGGTTTCTCTCTTCATGCAGGTTCAGAGGAACACCTGAGATTTACCTGAACCCTCCACGGCAAATCCCATCAGCACCGAATACAGCCAGAAGTCGCGGAAGAGTTTCTGCAACCGTGGTTTGGCTTCCTTGATTGGTGGCAAGCGTCTGGTGAGCTGGCAATGAAAACAACATGTTTTAAATGTTCGTTTACAGGAGGGGAACAAGCCAAACTTTGCTAGCTACCAATACAAACGTTGATTTTTTTCGAGCCTACCCATCTTGGATTCTACAGCTTAGGAGAGTAAAATCACCTCCAAATTCAGCCTAACGATTACTGTGGTCCAGCTAAAAATCTAATCTTTAACAGATGAACAGAGTTGGAAAGGAACTTATAGGTCATCTAGTCCAACCTCCTGCCCAAGCAGGAGACCCTACACAATTTCTGATCGATGGCAATCCAGTCTTCTTCTTGAAAGCTTCCAGGGATGAAGCTCCCACAATTTCCGAAGGCAACTTCTCTTCCATTGCTTGATTGTTCTCACTATCAGAAAATTTATCCTTATTTCCAGGTTGAATCTCTCCTTGTTCAGTTTCCATCCATTATTCCTTGTCTGGCCTTCAGGTGCCTTGGAAAATAGCTTGACCCCTTCCTCCTCTCTGGGGCAGCCCCTCAAATACTGGAAGACTGCTCTCCTGTTTCCCCTGGTCCTCCTCTTCCCTAGACTAGCCATGCCTAGTTCCTGCAACCGTCTATTGTATGTTTTAGTCTCCAGATCTTTGATGATCTTAGATAGATTCAGATTAACAGAGTTGGAAGGGACCTTGTAGGTCATCTAGTCCAACCCTCTACCCAAGCAGGAGACCCTACACCATTTATGACAGATGGCAGTCCAGTTTCTTCTTGAAAGCTTCCAGTGGTGAAGCTCCCACAACTTCTGAAGGCGATTTCTGTTCCATCGATTGATTGCTCTCACTTGATCTTGATATATTTCATAACAAATGATATAAACTCTTGTCTTAGGCTCAACTGTGTCAAAAGAATTGCCAAGCCCATGCAGAATTATCACATCCTTCCCACAGTACCAAAACATATCCATTTATTAAAGGTTTAATTGCTGGAATCAGAATTGACTCCCAGCCGTTTACGATCCACAGAATCAAAAACAATAGAATGCAACCCTGTTATAATATATCAATACCTAAAAAAACTCCAACAAGATACCACTCAATCACTAATCAGTGACATCAACTGTAATATATATTTTCAATGTATGATATGGAAGATAAAAATCGTTCTTTGCTCCTATTTGTAAAAGGATGTTGTTGTTTTTTAAAAAAATAAAGAATATAACCAGAAACAGAGCAGGAAATAAACTAGCAGAAAAAGCAACCCATCAGGGAATTTAGCTGACATGGTGAGTGATTGATTTACAACGTGTTTACTTTAGCAAGCACCCAGTGGCACCAAAGTTCAGACTGCAACATTTTCATCTGTCTTTCTTGCAAAAGCCTTCGTGAGCCTTCCCTTCGTCAACAGAACAGGTAAGGAACATGAATCATCTTTGGTTTTTTTGGGGGGGAGGTAGATTAAAAATAAATAAGCTTGAGCATTTTTTAGGGTAAAACTGAGACAGACTGCATCTAGTCCAACCCCACGCCCAAGTGGGAGCCCTACACCATTTCTGATGAATGGCAGTCCAACCTCTTCTTGAAAGCCTCCAGAGATGACGCTCCCACAACTTCCGAGGGCAACTTCTGTTCCATGGGTTGATTGTTCTCACTGTTAGAAAGTTTCTCCTTATTTCCAGGTTAGATCTCTCCTTGTTCAGTTTCCATCCATTATTCCTTTTCTGGCCTTTGGGTGCTTTGGAAAACAGCTTGACCCCCTCCTCCTCTCTGTGGCAGCCCCTCAAATATTGGAAGGCTGCTCTCCTGTCTCCCCTGGTCCTTCTCTTCCCTAGACTCGCCAGGCCCAGTTCCTGCTCATCGTATGTTTTAGCCTCCAGTCCCCTAATCGTCCTGGTTGCTCTTCTCTGCACTCTTTCTAGAGTCTCAACATCTTTTTTATAGTGTGGTGACCAAAACTGGATGCAGTACTCTAGGTGTGGCCTTACTAAGGTTTTGTAGAGTGGTATTAGTAACCTCCCTTGATCTTGATTGTATCCCGCTGTTAATGCAACTTAGGATTGCGTGAGCTATTTTGGCTGCCGCCACACACTTTGCAATTAGTTGAGTCAAACATCTCAACCGTATCTAGTTGACTTCACTCTATGGAACCCAAATTATATTTTTCATCTACGAAGAGAATCTGGTTCAGGAGACCATGTAAAACTTGTGCCCATCCTCTTGTCTAGACCTCGTTCGAAGGACCCTGTTTCCAGCCGAAATACGATGAAGATCTTCTGGCATTCAGCAGTCTTCTTCTCCCTCACCATCTCCTTGGTCTGGTGTGACATCAAGGACCTTCACGGGCACTTCGATCAACTGAGTGAGGAGGCCCTATCCTTTCACTCTCGTGGCCTTCTTACCAACAAATCCCTTCAGGGGACAAACCTGTCCCCCGAATACCACCAAGAAAACACTGTGACCAACGACTTGAGCATGGAAGAGGAGGAAAACTACGAATACTTGGACTTCGACAAGCTCTTACATGAAGACGAGTATATCGATATCATTGATAGCATCCCGGAAGCGACGTCTTACGTCGACCAAGGAAACGTGCTGGCCCTCTTTCGCGGGAAGACCAGAATCCAACGTCTCAACATCCTGAATGCCTATTTTGGCTTCAACCTTTACCGAAGCCTTCGGGACCACGTCAACTCTTCCGACAACATCTTCTTGGCTCCGGTGGGCATCTCCACCGCCATGGCCATGGTTTCGTTGGGACTCAGAGGCCGAACGCAGAAGGAAGTCTTGGACGTTCTAGGTTTCGAAGACTTTGTGAACGCCAGTTCCACCTACGACTACACAACCGTTCACAACCTCTTCCACAAACTCACGCACCGGCTTTTCCGGCGCAATTTTGGCTACACCCTCAGGTCAGTCAACGACCTCTATGTCCAAAGGCAGTTCTCCCTCCTGAATGAGTTCAAGGACAATATGAAGAAGTACTATTTCGCTGAGGCCCAGGTGGCTGACTTCTCTGACCCAACCTTCGTCAGTCGCGCTAATGAGCGAATCGTAAAGCTCACCAAGGGCTTAATTAAAGATGCGCTCGTTAACATACACCCGGACACGCTCGTGATGATCCTCAACTGCTTGTACTTCAAAGGTAAGGCGAGAAATATCAGTAAAGGCTGGGTTTCGTTTGTTTTTTTTCTCATACACGCAGAACACAGAATAATAATAGGAGGGGAAGAGACCTTGGAGGTTTTCTAGTCTCCAACTGGTGGTCTGCGAGAAAATTTGGGTGGTCCCCAGAAAAATTATTTGCATTCTTTTATATTGCACTCAATCAGGGGTCCTCAAACTATGGCTCCTGGGCTGCATATGTGCAATGAATGTTTGCGTTGCTAAAGAGAGTCTCCCCCTTTGGGGTCTTTTTGCGCGGGGCAGAGGGGGGCAGAAATTCCGACTCGGGGTCTGCTTCAGACTCCTGGAGCTATGCCTTGGGTGAGGGTTGAAGGGAAGGGCGGCTGGTGGCAGAGAGCCCGAGGGTCTCGTTCCAGTGGGACCGCATCATGGCCTGGAACTGGCTGACTGTCTCAGCCCACCGAGGAGCCTCCAGGTGCCGGCACCTGGACTTGCACTCCTGCAGGTCTTCCCTCTGCTTGGAAAGCCTCTGCTCCTAGTCCTCAGTGAGGTGGTTCTGCTGAGCCTCCTCCTTGGGCAGATCCGATTTGAACGGAGCCAGCTGTTTGGCTCACTCTAATTCTTGTGGGGGGGGTGCATCGATCCAGCCACTGCTTCCTGTTGGGGCCCTCAGGAGCCCCTGGGCGGGGAGGCAAGGAGTGGCGGGGAGGGGAGGGGCAAGTAGAGGCCGGGGAGGTGCCCCTCGATGTGAGTGACATCGAGTTGGCCACGCCCACCCAGTCACACGATCCCCCTAGCCACACCCAGCCAGCCGGTCATTAGGCAGATCGTGTTAGTGGTCCGCGGGATTTAAAACGATGAATTTAGGGGTCCCTGAGGTCGGAAAGGTGGGAGACCCCTGTTCTAATACAACCCTGCTACCTATTGCAGAAGATCTCAGACCATTCCAGGCTTTCTTGGGGCTTCGTGGGATGGGTACATGTGATCATAGAAAGAACAGCATGGAAAGAACATCCCTTTACTGTATCTTATAAGAGCAAAGAGTGTGAAAAGACCTAAAAAATACCGATAGCTCTTGATTTAGAACCTGTCATGATCCAGGGTAGGATACAAAAATAACCAAGGCACAGAACGAAAATAAAGTCCCTTGACTGCCTCCAGCTTGGCCCCAGTGTCCAATTATCCTCGGGCTAGAAATCAAACTCTTAACTGATCATCTTTACATAAAATATAATACGAATAAAAATGAGAAAGAATTGAGATGTGCCCTAAAGGAGAATATGGAATTGAGATTAAAGTCTAGTGATTGTATAGGAATAATATGATACGGAAAGTTAATTAATGCACCATGAATATAAATTTAAGAGGAAAAGGACTATCGATATTGTGCACAAGACGTAGGTATAATTGAAAGAAGGTTTTATTTGTTGTTTTATGTATTATGTTTTTTTGTTTATGTTGGTTGTTAAAAATAAAAGAAAAACCTTTTATACATATATATAAAAAAAGGAAAACCGCGGGAAAAGAATGACGAACTCAAAGTGTTTTCATCGGTTGTTGCCAGGAACCTGGGAAAATAAGTTCCCAGTGGAGGCGACCTACAAGCAGAGTTTCCGGCTGAACGAGAAGGAGACGGTGAAGGTCCCTATGATGAAAGTCAAAGCCAACTTCTTGGCCACCGAAGACAATGAGCTGGACTGCAGGGTGCTGCAACTGCCCTACGTGGGGAATATCAGCATGCTGATTGTGCTGCCCTATAAGCTGTCTGGCCTGAAGACCCTGGAAAACCAACTTAGCCCCCAGGTGGTGGAGAGATGGCAGAAGGACATGATCAACAGGTACCCTGTGGCCCCCGGAGATCCTGCGCGGCCTAAGTATCTCACGCTCTCTGATTCAGATCTAAAGCAATGGTTATGGGCGGGGATGGTTTAAGGCGCCTGGAGAGAAAGCAAGAGACTGGGAGTTCTAGTTCCGGCCTGGGGCATGAAAGCTAGCTAGGTGACTTTGGGTCAATCATTAGGAGACGGTGAGTTCCAGTCTTGCCTTAGGCCAGCTGGAAGCCAACTGGGTGACTTTGGGGCCAATCAGCAGGAGACTGGGAGTTCTAGTTCCACCTTAGGCATGAAAGTCAATTGTGTGACTTTGGGCCAATCCCCAGGAGACTGGGAGTTCTAGTCCTGCCTTATGGATGAAAGCCAGCTGGATGACTTTGGGTCAATCATTAGGAGATGGTGAGTTCTAGTTTTGCCTAAGGCGTGAAAACCAGCTGGGTGACTTTTGGGCCAATCAGCAGGAGACAGTGAATTCTAGCCCCGCCTTAGGCAAGAAAGTCAATTGAGTGACTTTGGGGCAATCACCAGGAGACTGGGAGTTCTAGTTCCACTTAGGCAGGAAAGCCAGTTAGGGGACTTTGGGGCCAATCAGCAGGAGACTGGTGCCAAAACAAATAATCCATAACTGGATTATGAAAATGACCTGAATCAGTTCATGTTTAACTTCTAACTCTCTCGCTAGAACCCGAGAAGTCGTGGTGCCCAGATTTAAGCTGGAGAAGAGCTACGACTTGATCGAAAACCTGAAAGCGATGGGGATCGAGGAGCTGTTCACACCGCGTGGCAACTACTCCGGCATCTCGGAGGAAAAAATCACCATCAACAAGGTAATACAGCATTGGCACAAATTAAAACTCCAGGATGTTTTCACTTTGTGTGAGGGACAGAGGGGAAGAATTATTCTGTTCGGGGTTCATTTAGGTTTAGGTGCTGTGGTCAGAAGGCGGCTAAGAGAAATGTTCTACAAATTTTGAGACTGAAAGATTGATAGTTCAGGGAAAAAGTAGCATATCGGACAGCGAAAGATGGACCACAGAGAAAAGGGACATAAAGAATAGATGGGCAGAACAAAAGCAGATTTAATAACAGACACATTAAAAAATTACCGGTCAGGTACACGGCTGAGCTACAGCACCCCAGATAGAACCATTTATTTATTTACCTACTTATTCCATTTTTATGCCAAATTTATTACTTTATAAAGACCTCAAGGCAGTAAACATATATTGTACTCATGCTTCCTCCTCTTTTTCCCACAACAACCCTGTGAGGGCTGAGAGAGAGGGACTGGCCCAAAGTCACCCAGCTGACTTCCACGCCTAAGGCGGAAACTAGAACTCCCAGCCTCCTGGTGATTGGCCCAAAGTCACCCAGCTGACTTCCATGCCTAAGGCGGAAACTAG